GAGCTACGGATCGAACGGATCCGACAAGCGCAGGACGAGGAGTCGTGTATCATGGGCCTGAAGAAGTACTTGATCGAGGAGATCCGGGATTTGACACAGGAAGAGGCTAGAGTGTTCGGATCCATTGCCACGAATTACGAAGTGGATCAGCTGGATCTACTCTTCTATTGTCCGACATCTAAGGAAACGGCCGCAGATCGGGATAAGCTAATGCGACTAGTGATGCCTGAGACGCTCCAACAGGACATTCTGCACCACTACCATACGAGCCTACAGGGAGGCCACCAAGGGGTCGGCCGCACCTATGACCGAATCCGTGATCACTTCCACTGGAGGGGTCTGTATAAGAGTGTACAACGATATGTGGGGGAATGCGTCGACTGTGGAACGGTTAAGGGAAGACCTCGGATCCAGGGCGAGTCGCCTGGTAACCTTCAGGCAACGTACCCATTTCAGATCATTGCCATGGATCATATACCCTCGCTGCCTAGATCCTTCAAGGGCAATACCGAACTGCTGGTTTTCGTGGATCTATTCACAGGATCCGTGATCACCAAAGCTAGCGCCTCTAGATCCGCTCAAACAATCGCCGAGACTTACGAAGAATGTGTATTTCTCCGATTTGGCGCGAGCGAGGTGATCCGACATGATCGGGAGCCGGGCTTCATGTCTGACTTCTTTAAGTCGTTCAACAAGATCCTGGGACAACGGCAACGTGCTACTATGGCATATAGACCCCAAGCCAACGGATCAGCGGAGCGCATGGTCCAGACAACTACCAGAGCTCTTAAGATGTACGTGGAAGATCTGGATCAACGAGATTGGGACGAGTACGCTGAACGACTCACCTTCGCGATTAACACCGCAAGGGATCGGATCCGAGGAGAAACGCCTTTCTATATGATACATGGCTGGGATCCTAGATCTACGCTGGAGGCTGTGATCCCAGTGGGAAGTACTCGCAAGCACGATCGAGATCCAAGAAGGTGGCGATATCAAATGCAGAAGTATTACCAGCAGGTCAGAGAACAGGTGAACCAACGCTTAAGAGAAGCGATCGCGGATCGAGCCGATACGCATAACGATCTAGCACGACCACACCCTGTAGAATCTGGATCAAGGGTCTGGCTATATCTAGATCGCGTGTGTGAAGGTTATGCGAAAAAGCTGCATGGCCCTTTCCGCGTTGCCGAAAAGATCGGAGAGCATGCTGTGAGGTTGGAGATAGATAGCAGGATCCACATACAGCATTTTCCCGGTGGTACATGTGTCGAAGATCAAACTGGTCCAAGAATTCCCAGATCGACCAGTAACTCGGTTGAACGGATCAGAAGGAGATCGAGTGGACTTCGATGAAGCTCTCCTACCTGAAGATAGCTGGATCCAAGATCGGGATCCGGATGAATATGAAGAGGAGCAAATTTCTGACATGAGAACTGGCAAGAGGACGAGATACGGCCGGATCTACCGATAATTCCTGGTAAATTGGCGTGGATATGAAGATCCGACTTGGATACACGAAGCAGATCTCAACTGCGGTGCGTTCTGTATGAATTCTTGCGAGATCGTGCTAGTCGCAACCGTTTCGGTGTGATGCAATCTCACGAGGAGCCGTGACCAGGGGATCTACACTGGTGAGTTGGTCATTAGTGTGGTTGAAAGTCGATGGATCTGCAAGGAGGTTGCAGATCGGAGGACAGAGGTTGCGTGAGTTTGTATATGATGATATGTTAACAGAGGATCGAAGTGGAGCGAGATTGATTCTGAAATAGATATGGAATGGACAGGGTGAATTTCAACTGTGGATCTGAAATGGTACTATTGGGGAGACTATGGATCTAGGAAGGTGACTGGGGAAGATCCATTCAGGGCGAAATGGCAGTGCACGGGACAACACTTCCAAAGTCATCGTCATGATCGTCAAAGTGTTGATCCGCTGGATCACCCACGGATCCACGTCCGCAATGTT